AACAGAAGGACCCTTGAGTTTAATCTCTCTCAGGGCAGATCTGGGTCAGTGAAGGCCAACAGAAGGCTGGATCCCATGGGGTCTGTGCAAAACACTCTTGCCATTTCTCATCTCCACACACACCCGCCTCTGAACCTCCGACTGGGCACAGGACCTCGGGTAAGCCCACTCAACTGGATGGCGCGCCACGCAGGCGCTTTAATTTTCATTTAGTGTGTTGACGGATACGGACAAGAGAGATGACTCAGGTGTTTGACATTAATGTCAATTTGGCTGATAATTAAGAGCTGCGATGTATTACCTTGGAAATCTGTCCCATGTGCTAACTTCCTGGAAACATTTGGGGCTGACAGAACTCACAAAGGGTCTGACAGAATTTTGGAGACAGTGATGATTGGTTTTAAATTTCCCTGGCAAGTGAATTGTTAGTGGAACAACTGGAACCGTTCCTCACCATTTGAAGAACCGTTCGGCTTGGCGGTGGAAAAGTGTCTTTTATTTCTCATTTGTAACTTTATATGCCACAATTGAGAGTTCATTTTGTGTATTTGCAACTTTATACAATTGCATCTATTTCTCACAATTATAACTTTATTTTTAATTTCTCTATTTCTCAAGTTTGTGACTATTAATTGCGTTTGCAACTTTATTTCTCATATTTGTAAGACTTTTGATCTAACAATTGTGGCTTAATTTGTTGTATTTGCAACTATTTATCATATTTGTTACTATATCGTATTTGCAACTTTATATCTCACAACTGCAACTTTATTTCTCATGTTTGTGACTTTAGATCTCATAATTGCGACTTAATTTTTTGTATGTACTTTATATCATAATTGCAACTTTATTTCTCACAATTTGGACCACTTTATGTTTAACATATTTGCAACTTAAAGGGGCTATTCTAAGAATCATCATGTATTAACCACATTTTTATCGCCAATGTGAGAACAGTTTGTAACGAAACTTAAAAAACAAGACTTTCCCCGACTTCCTAGGTTGTTTATGAAAGCCTGAAGACTGATTTTTTTTTGTGAAGGACAAAATCAAAAGCATGTGAAGTTTACATGTGCTCCCGAGAGCTTCTGTTCCGTTCTGTGACACATGAAACGTACGTCTAGAAGGTCCAACACATTGATAGTTTCTGGGATACTGATAACTACACTGAACAAAATTATAAACGCAAGACTTTTGTTTTTGCCCCCATTTTTCATGAGCTGAACTCAAAGATCTAAGTCCTTTTCTATGTACACAAAAGGCCTATTTCTCTCAAATATTGTTCACAAATCTGTCTAAATCTGTGTTAGTGAGCACTTCTCCTTTGCCGAGATAATCCATCCACCGCACAGGTGTGGCATACGTTCAGTGTAGGATTAACAGCCAAAACCTGTGTTTTCAGTTGAAGCACTGTGTTATACTATGTGACCGTTAACAAATTTACACGTCTTACGAGCAAAATATATATGCAGGAGTATAATTCTCAAAATATATCAGTAGTAGACTCTTTAAAGAATATATGTACAAAATATGATAGTTCTATCTGTCAATTAAGATGTTTTACAGACTACTTTTTGTAGTAGTCTGAGGAAGACATCTTCTAGATGTGCAAGCAGGAAGTAAACTGATCTGGTCATGTGACCTTTCACACTAGTCACATGACATTAATAGATTTTAATCAAGACAATCTATTTTTTTCATTTAAAAGTTGTATTTTTTGCCCAAAGCCAATAACAACATTTTTTGAGCTTCCAGAAATAAGAAAAAAAGATGCTGGCACAATTGTGACCTGTTAATACAATGTTCAGGATAATGCCGAAAGAGCTACAATGAATGGCACCCCTGGTAAATATAATCAAAGATGGCTGTAAAAATAAATCTGCATTGTATATCCTTTTGATCTTTCATTCAAAAAATTTCCAAAAAAGGGTTAGAAAAGGGTTTATGAAATAAACGCTTTTCTCCAAAACACGCTGGCCATAATTATTGGCACCCTTGTATTAAATATTTTTTCAACCTCCTTTTGCCAAGATAACATGGGTAACATGCCTGATGGGTTTGGAGAACAACTGACCTGAGATCATTCCTCCATTCAGAATCTCTCCAGATCCTGCAGATTCCCAGATCCATGTTGGCGCTTCTTCTCTTCAGTTCAGCCCACTCATTTTCTGTAGGGTTCAGTTTAGGGGACTGGGACGGTCATGGCAGAAGCTTCATTTTGTGCTCAGTGTCACATTTTTGTGTTGATTTTGATGTTTGTTTTGGACCGTTGTCCTGATGGAAGATCCAACCACGGCTCATTATAAGATTTCTAGCAGAGGCGGTCAGGTTTTGATTTTTTATCTGTTGGTATTTGCTAGAATCCAAAATACCATGTATCTGAACAAGCTGTCCAGGACCTCCAGCAAAAAATTAGGCCCACAACATTAAAGATCCAGCAGTATATTTAACTGTAGGCACGGGGTACTTTTTATTCCTGTTTGCACCAAACACATCTAGTTTGTTTGCTGCCAAAAAGCTCTTTTTTTTTGTTTCATCTGACCATAGAATCCGGTCCCTTTTGAAGTTCCAGTCGTGTCTGACAACTCAAGCTGGAGTTTATTTTTGGATGAGCGAGGAGGATTTTTCTTGAAACCCAGGGGTGCCATTTGAATTTATTTATTTATTTATTTTTGGCTTTCTGACCCCAAGACTCAACTAATCTCTGCAATTCTCCATCTGTGATCCTTGGAGAGTCTTTGGCCACTCAAACTTTCATCCTTGCAATAAAGACACACGTCCTCTTCCAGGCAGATTCGTAGCTATTTTTTTTACAGCCACTTTCTATTTGTGATGCTCAACAATCTTTTTCTGCACATCAGAACTATATTCTGTGGTTTTACTCATTGTGATGGATGATTAAGGGAATTTGGCCTTTGTATTTTCTCAAATTTATACTCCTGTGAAACAAAGTCATACTGTAGCTTGACAATGTCATGTTCCTAGTCACCCTGGTGCTAAAAACCCCCAAAAAATTTAACGGGAATATACTTCAGAGATATTTTACTAATTCTAGGGGTGCCAATAACTGTGGTGACCGTGTTTTGGAGAAAAACATTTATTTCAAAATGTGAATTTCCCCTTTACTAAAAAATGAAAGGGTCGATATTTGCAATTTTTTGAATGAAACATCAAAAGAATAAACAATGCAATTTTATTTTTACCGCCATCTTTGATCATATTTATCAGGGGTGCCAATAATTCTGAGCACAACTGTATTCTGCACTGTAATGTCAATGCGTCATGCAAAGAAAATGGATTAATTCAAACTATAGTCTCACATAGTCAGATCTGTATAGTCTACGTATAGTCTCAAATATACTTTTATAATCAAACCATCATAACAGTGTCGACATGATGCCTATGAATTCCAGAGCTGGTGCAAACATATCCACATCAATATGATTAGTTGCTTTCTTAACTGCTGCCTTGTCACTGCTGTTTTTGTGTGTGTGTTTATTTTGTTAAGAGGAAAGTGCGCGGCACATATTTACAGTCCATATTCATCTAAACGTCGCTCTCAGCAGCATGGATGACGTCTGGATGTTAACAGTATATCGCTGAAAAAGGTATTTCCAAGAAATTACAACTTCATTTCACTTCCAAGCAAAGAATGAAAAAGAATTTCGCCTTGATTCACGTTTAGTCTCTTGCACATTTATTTTTCATTAAAACAAGAGGGGAACATTTTTTATATTTGCATTAACGAAGGAACCCGAATTATTTCATGCAAAAATAATCCTTGGGGACAAGTGTGGGGTGCTTTGCTGTGACAAATGAAAGAAAGAAACAAGAGAAGCAAAAGTTGGAAAACATTTTAGTGTGGTCATGCATAGCAAACTGGGTCAAAGGATTACCAGCAGGCTATAAAAAGATGCCTTTTTGGCCATACACAAATTCAAGGCTGTAGATCCAAGTAGTGTGTTTGTGTGCACATAAAAGTGTGTAATGGGGGAGGTGTGTTTTGTGCCAGGCATATGGCCGTAGGGAGAGAGAGAGAGAGAGAGAGAGAGAGAGAGAGAGAGAGAGAGAGAGAGAGAGACAGAGAGAGAGAGAGAGAGAGAGAGAGAGAGAGAGAGAGAGAGAGAGAGAGAGAGAGAGAGAGAGAGAGAGAGAGAAGGGGACAAGCGATAATCCCTCTGCAGTCATGCCATGGTCACTTGTGTTTTCTGTGTGTGTGTGTGTGTGTGTCCAGCGGGTGTCTAGGGTTGTCTGATTTGGTTCTGCTGGCTTGCGGTGAGGATTAGAGCTCTGGAGGGCCGTACATGTTCTCTTGACAGACCTCTTGTGCACCCTTAACTACAAGACAGTAGGACACAAATGCAACAAACACAAACATATGTCAGTGATCCAAGAGGCAGATACGTGCGATAAAATACTCATTTATTAACTTTTAAAGGCAATTAGTAAAAATAAAATGAGCTAAAATGTGACTTTTTAGTAGTGCAGCAAGTGTGAGGAATGACGTGCATTAAAAAATAACAGCTAAAACAATATTTCTAGTGAAAAAAACTATCAATAAATCAATAAAAAACAACTTTATAAAAATTTTTTATCTAAAGTTGCGAACATTGTTCCATTATATAGCAGGTTAAATGCAAACTTAACTAACATTTTTCAAAATAAAATTTAAAGAAAGAAATGTATTTGAATTATAAAATAATACAAATGAATCCTAAAATACAAAACATCTTGTATAATATTTCCTGTGTATTTTAGATAACTCTGTCATATAAAAGCGTATTTGATTTATAAAAGCGTACGTGGAGGTTTATTAAATAAAACGGGTTTATTTACATTTCTTCGCATGCCAATATGAATGTCCTGTACAATAGTCTTTATTATGGTGTAGTACAACTGTACAAGTGGCGTACACGGCACACACTGAACCTTACAGCGGTGTGTTTTTCCATTCAATTGACCTTGCTACAAACCCAAGACCAACAAAACTACAAGGAGGAACGCAGGGAAATGTAGTCCATAAACAACCCTTAAGCGTGTACAAGTCGATCATCGGTGCGAGGGGGTCTCCAGATGTCCTCTCCAGTGCTCAATGCCTGAGTGTCTGCTAGACGTGGCGGTTCTTCTGGTCTCTCTGGAGGCTTTGAACTGGGCCTCCAGCTCCTCCACCCACGCGGTGCTCCAGTCCCACACGGGCAGCGGCTCCAGCTCTCCAAAACACTCTCGAGGGGGGAACAGAACACTCAGGGGGGATGCAGGCGGGGAGAAATCTGCAGAAAATGCACGATCACACACACATCACAAAGGAAATCAAGAGAGATGTATGCATACACATGCACATAGGTACAATATACACAACCAAAAGCAATCTGTTAATACGTATAAAGTCACAAGTCAATTTGACCATTATAACGCTGAATGATAATGCACATCGCTGCTGAACCCATCGGTTACAATGCACTAGTCATTTAACCTGATGCATTCACGGAGATTGAAAGACAGGCAGAGAGAGAGAGAGTGAAAGGGGGAAACAATCAGCAAATGGAGAGAGGAAAGTCCCTGTAGGTTTCTCTTTTGAAAGGCGTGATTGATTTGCTGAAACTTCAGAGAGGATGGTGGGGGAGTTCAGACAATTTGCAGACAGGTCCTCAAATCCCATTATTTCTCATTGTACCAAAGTAGGGCTGCAATTTTTCACTGTCTCATTGGGAAGCGTAATGCTGCGGTGCCTTGTGAATGTGATCTGACAATGAGGATTCGCATCCAAAATACAGTTCTCCAATTAAGTTATACAACGATCCCAAAAGGTGCTTAAGTGACACAATAAAAAAAAAATAATGCAAAAGTTTTTCTCAGAACTAACCTCCCTTTTTTGAGCCATTTTTTCCCCATTAGTTTGAATCTGCTTGTCTCTAGATGAAGGCTGGTGTAGTTTATCACAATTATGAATATGTTCTATTAAAATTTACAGCCTTACAGAGCTGAGAAATTAATAATAAACTGAAAAAAGGTGGTGAGCAGCAAAGAAAACTGAAATGTGATTAGTTTTAGCAATTAATGCAGCCAGACTTCTAAATAACTTATAAGTATGCCCATTAGACATTTGCCGAACAGGTTTAAACAAGGTCAAATGTGAGATCTGAGAGTACTATACTATTCCACTATTACTGGTACCTGAAAGCTTGATTATGATTAGCCAAAATATTTGCATTTACAAACATTTTCACCCAAATGTTTTTGATTTATTTACAGTTTATTTCATCATGCACTACTTAAATAGTGGCCATTCCAATTGTGTGGAAATGAGCCGAGCTTCCATGTGCTGAATCTGTGTGGACCTGCTGATAAAGCCACAGATCTCGACTGCATGAGCAGATTGTTCCACCTAGTGGCCATTTCTGTCAACTACATCAGTATTGCTGTTAGCAAACTTGACACTTGAATAATCACGTGGAGACTATAAATAAAACAACCTAATTGTACAGAGGTTGAAGAGAGTTATATCTTGCCTGATAAAGTACCGCTCATAGATTCGGCTGTCAGAGCCAGGACGCGGGCAAAGTTCGCATCGTTTATGAACGAGCAGTCAGAAGAGCTGATGATGCTCGTTCGAGCGCTCGCCACGTTGCTCTCGGACACCGAACCCCAGCCGTTCCACAACGAGCCCTCCCATTCGCTGTAACAGGAGGAGGGCGTGCTTCTCAGGGTGGCTCCCCTGAGTCCGATCGGCTGGCACCCCTGCTCATCATCCATCTCCTGGTCGACAGGCCCGCAGATGTAACCGAACGTGGGCGTGGGAGAGAATGGACGGGGCATTGATGGAGAACTCTGATGAGACGTACTGATGGGAGACATCAAAATTAGCCCTTGTCTTGATACTTTATTCACAGAAATGCTCTTTCAGGTGTTCTCATACCTCGGCCCCTGTGGTTTAGGGCTGATCTCCATGTACTGAGTGTGGCCCTGAGTACTGAGCGTGGTGTCCTGGTAGTCATCGGTGGAGAGACAGAAGGAGGCAGTGGACAGGTGGCTATAGGACGGGCTGAGCTGGGCTGGGCTGTGGTGGGTTGGACAGCTCGTAGTGGACATAGTGAACCCCTGGAGCCCAGAGGCAGCACACACAGACTGCTGAGAGCCGATGTCGACCGTCAGCTTGGTGGATCTGGTCGACCTGAGGGATCAGATGTTTAAATTCACACTAGCATACTACTCTTACTATTTCTGGCATTGCTACATTTCTTTTAAATGTAATAGTACAGTATATAACCAAAGCTACAAAGTGTGAAATGAAACATTTCTCTATTATTTTAGGGGGCTTACTTTTGGATGTAGGCTTAGCATACTGCTAGCCATTTAACCTGCTAGCTTGGCGTTTACCATACGCAAATGTTCAATTATAAGGTTTTATAGTATGATTAAACATGTGTAGGGTTTGCTAAGATAGCACACTAATTTTTCTTGTCGGCTGCATTTCAAATGCAGGGGGAACAAGATATCGTGGTCATAAATTAAGAATTTAAATGTTTTCCTTGTTTTAGATAAATTGTGGCCACGTTTTACTCATTTGTAGCTTTTTTTTTGTTAAATAGTGACAATGATTTAACTAAATTAAAAAATGGGAACAAATTAGTAGCCTACAACATGGCCTCGATTTACCTAAAACTAGGGAATGAATTAAACGTGGCCATGATTGAACTAAAACAAGGGAACAAAGGAATAAAATATGACCACAAATTAGTCATGGGGACATATTCCTAATTCACGCTCAAGATATCCTTTTTTTCACTGCATGTCTCTGTATTTTACCAATAGGAAAGCAAAAATTTAACTAAGCTATCCTTATTAATTTTATGGCTCTATAAAACAACTATTTCATTTGTGTGTAAGATATTTTACATCTGAGACAAAGTACTTGCATGAAACATAACCAATAACCCCATTATGTCTAAAAAAGAGACATTAAAGGGCAACCTCTCAGCTATTAAATGTTCTTTTAGAAAGGTGTTTGTATCCGTATATCTGTGTTTTTGTATGAGACTCTCTGAGTGGGCAGTTCTGTGTCCGTTCCTGCTAGCTAGTTTGCACCGCCGGAAGAAACTTCCTGTTTGTGTCCTAGCATTTAAAACACACTTCCTCTCACTTACAGACCTTCTAATAAATAGTGTGGGCCATTTCCCCTTCTGCCTCCCTGTCCATTAGAGTTGAGATACAGGCTAAATTGGTTTCCAGTCTTTTAGTCTGAGAGCAGAGAGAGACAGTGGTAGACTTCTCTCTTCTCACGCTATAAAGACATGGTATTGTCACAGACACTGTCATTACGGACATGCAGGGGCGCAACCCCTCAAGTTGTCTGTGAGAAATGGACATAAATCTTGAGCTCTGTGGCAGTAGTGATTTAGCACCACTCACATCCTGCTATGACAGAATGCTGAATCACTGAAGTTTATCACCATTTATGAAGCCACAATGAGAAGAAAGACAATCTAAAGTTCTAGTATATGAACAATGTTAAAATGTATTGGTATATTTAGAAAGTAACATTATATGACAGTTCTCATCTTCAACTCATACCAAATCTTTATGACTTTCTTCAAAATAGCTTCTTTTGTGTTCTGCAGAAGAAAGCATGTTGGGAAGCAAACTACACTGGAGGCAATTGATGTCATTACGTGCTCCAGACTGCCATTAACGCACTCAGGACCGTTTGCAGAGGCTGTGGATTACAGGTAATAATGTTGTAAATAATGTTCAGTTTCTTCCACATATTGATGGTTTTGCTTCATAAGACCCCAATGTATCGTCAGGAGCCATGGGTATTAATTTTGTTTTGCCTGTATATGTGTGTTTTTTTTACTCTTAAAGTGACGGTAGCTGACGTTGACTTGCATTATACGAATCACCAAGGACAACGGTTTCAGCAAAAAATCTCCTTTACATTTCTACTGAAAAAAAAAACCCCTTAGGGTGGTCTAAGGGTGAGTAAATTAACAGCAAATTAATTTTTGGGGTGAACTAGATGAATAAATGCAAATATATATACACTCACCGGCTACTTTATTAGGTACACCTGTCCAACTGCTCGTTAACACTTAATTTCTAAGCAGCCAATCACATGGCGGCAACTCAGTGCATTTAGGCATGTAGACATGGTCAAGACAATCTCCTGCAGTTCAAACCGAGCATCAGTATGGGGAAGAAAGTTGATTTGAGTGACTTTGAACGTGGCATGATTGTTGGTGCCAGAAGGGCTGGTCTGAGTATTTCAGAAACTGCTAATCTACTGGGATTTTCACGCACAACCATCTCTAGGGTTTACAGAGAATGGTCCGAAAAAGAAAAAACATCCAGTGAGCGGCAGTTCTGTGGGCGGAAATGCCTTGTTGATGCCAGAGGTCAGAGGAGAATGGCCAGACTGGTTCGAGCTGATAGAAGGGCAACAGTGACTGAAATAACCACTCGTTACAACCGAGGTATGCAGCAAAGCATTTGTGAAGCCACAACACGCACAACCTTGAGGCGGATGGGCTACAACAGCAGAAGACTCCACCGGGTACCACTCATCTCCACTACAAATAGGAAAAAGTGGCTACAATTTGCAAGAGCTCACCAAAATTGAACAGTTGAAGACTGGAAAAATGTTGCCTGGTCTGATGAGTCTCGATTTCTGTTGAGACATTCAGATGTTAGAGTCAGAATTTGGCGTAAACAGAATGAGAACATGGAACCATCATGCCTTGTTACCACTGTGCAGGCTGGTGGTGGTGGTGTAATGGTGTGGGTGATGTTTTCCTGGCACACTTTAGGCCCCTTAGTGCCAATTGGGCATCGTTTAAATGCCACGGCCTACCTGAGCATTGTTTCTGACCATGTCCATCCCTTTATGGCCACCATGTACCCATCCTCTGATGGCTACTTCCACCATGTCACAAAGCTCTAATCATTTCAAATTGGTTTCTTGAACATGACAATGAGTTCACTGTACTAAAATGGCCTCCACAGTCACCAGATCTCAACCCAATAGAGCATCTTTGGGATGTGGTGGAACGGGAGATTCGCATCATGGATGTGCAGCCGACAAATCTGCGGCAACTGTGTGATGCCATCATGTCAATATGGACCAAACTCCCTGAGGAATGCTTCCAGCACCTTGTTGAATCTATGCCACGAAGAATTGAGGCAGTTCTGAAGGCAAAAGGGGGTCCAACCCGTTACTAGCATGGGGTACCTAATAAAGTGGCCGGTGAGTGTATATATATATATATATATATATATATAAAATTGTTAGTTCATGATGATACCTAATGCATTACCAAAGATTTAACCAATTGAACTCTATTATAAAGTTTTACCAACATAACTAAAATGTCTGTTGGGCTAAAAAAAAAAAAGCAATCCAATCTCTGAACATGTAAATTTAGCTCTGGGCGTCGGTGTGATTCTCACTCGTCCTCTGAGCTGAGGCTGTGGTTGTCCTCTACTGGAAGAGGCGGAGGGCTGGGTAACATGTCCACCAGCTGCAGAGAGGTGGAGTAATGCAGGATACGTGGAGAACTTGGCAGCTTCACATGCTCTGATACACCACCTGAGGGAATGTACATCAGCTTAGAAGAGATAGTTTCACTACACTTCCTCTGAGATTCAAAGGATTAGGTTTAGGATTTGAAACATGAGAAATGCTAGTGTTCAAACCTGCAGGGTGCTGACTGAATCTTTGCTGATGGTTGTTTGGTCCACTGCACACTGCCAGAGCGTGTTGATTCACGGGCATTAATGGGGCACTTTTCACCGTGTGCAGCTCTGGAAGTGGACAAACATGTCAGTGCTGGACGAAATTAATTTTAATGACTCGCTGAATGTAAGGATGTCTCACCACGCTTGTAATTTTTCTCCCACGATTCCTTCAGAACTCCCATGTTGGGCTGGGAAGGGAGGGCACGTTTCCATGGCAATGCCTGCACTTCCCTCACAACGGCGGTTTTGACGATGGGTTCGGTGATGCGAACAGTCTCGGAGTTATGCAGTTGAGAGTTGCCGTGGGGCATTCTGGGACAGCGACCCGGACTATTAAACGTCTTCAGTCCATTGCCGGTTAGATCCACATAAAAGGTGCCATAGACGCCGCAGTTGTCTGGTACAATGGGGACGGCTGACCGCAGGGGGTTTGGCTCCTTTTTAGCCGTAATGGGCAGAGCTGTCAGTACAGAGGTAAAAATCAGACAGATTTACATAATGTGCCAAGATGTCAACGGTAATTAGAGTTGATGAGGACTCTGCAGAGTCGTGACTTTAGGGGTGACAGCCATCTTTGAAGGTTCTCATGAGGACGTATCTGTCATCCAGAGAGATGACGAGAGGCAACAAAAGAGGAGTAGATGAGGGTGTATGGATGGTGAGATGAAGATTTGCGATAAATAAAGTCTAAAAGGAATAGTTTAATGAAAAAATAGATTATCAGAATTTCACTGTATCGGAGGAGCATGAACATTCTTTAAAACATCTTCTTTTGTGTTTCACAGATGAACAATTTCACTGTATCGGAGGAACGTGATTTTTTTTTTAAAACATCTTCTTTTGTGTTTCATAGAAGAAAGTAAGTCATGCAGACTCGGAACAACATGAGGGTAAGTAAATGATGACAGAATTAAATTTTTTGCATCAACTGTCTCTTCAACTCTTTCCCTGACAGATTGTTCTTATAATTTTCACAAAACTTCTATGGCCCCCAGAATACTCTATTGTATGAATATCTGAACATGCAATATATCAAAAGAAAGAACAGAGCCTCTGCTTTTAAACAAAAATGCATTCCTTTTTTACGAACTCTTGAATGTGGGTACGTTTCATAAAAAAAGAAACATTTTGAGCAAAAGACTACAACGTGCATAAGCAATGCTTTTATAGCTCGTTTCTGCTCCTTTTTTGCCTGAGTTTAGATCCAGAGCTTCTCTTTCAGAAGTTGCATAATTACCTTACTGTATAACAGTGAAAACACGGAAAGCCGGAAAAGTCAATGGCGGGGAAGTGTTGTCTCATAAATGACAGAAAATTCTGTCAAAGGCGGGGAAAGAGTTAAGAAGATGCTAAAGTTGTTGTTGTGTTTCAAATGGTAGTTTTGGTGTTCCAAGTTTCGAGTTAAAACTCAGGGGAAGTTGTGACTTACTGGTCCTCCGGAAGCCAGAGTTGTCCTGCTTATGGGTCCAAAGGCCCTGCTTGGGCTCACTGCTGGAGTCTGGCCTCCAGCCTCCAGAGATCCACGGAGAGTCTGGTGCCGCCATTCTAGAAGGGAAATAATAAGGATGGAGACTCAATTACTTGTGGAAGCCAATTTCTGCCACTTTAAAAAAAGGCCATGCTGTGGTAAATTAGAATTATGAGATAAAAAAGCATAATTATGACACAAATTTATATTATAAGAAAAAAGGCCATAATTATGAGATACAAAGATGTAATTAAGACTCACTAAGTAGTAATTATGACAAAGTCAATTATCATAATTATGACTTTTTAACTCATAATTTCAACTTTTTCTCGTAATTTCGTGTTTTGGTCATAATTCTGACTTATAGTATGTCTTTTTTTGTCATAATTGTGATTTACAGAGTATAATTCTTTTTCTTATCTGGAATTTAGTTGTACAGATAGTATTTTTTGGAAATGTACCACTGCGATATTATGTTTTTTGGACATGTACTATTGAGATACCTTGGTATTCTTTAAAGTATCATTAACATGGTTATCGTTTAGTACTGTGGAATATTTTAAAGACCTTTTACCTTATTTTTTTATTATTATTTTTTACCTGTGTTTGATAATGAGATCTTCACTTTCCAGTCTATATAAGCCTATAAATGGAAGAGAGAATTATGATTGTATGATTATGAGCATAAAGTGAATTAAAAAAAGGATTTAGATTGGGACTTATTTATAGATTACCTGAGCTTTTGCCTCCCAGGTTGGCGGGTCTGACATGTCTCCTGTACAAAAACAGGGCAGTAATCATCAAAACACACCACAGGAGGGTGCCAGCGCTTCCAATGAATACCGGCTCTTTAATCACAGCAAGGAAATGAGACATACTGAGTATGCCTGTCTGATGCGGTGCTGACTCCTGCCTCGACTCTGAAGGAAAAAAAAGAGCAACAGGTAACATACTGAGTAGGTTACACTTTAAAATTATACCTCAGTGTTAGTTTATTAGCTTACCTATGAGCAGTTTGTATGGGTCGCTCTGGACCCCCACTCCCGCCCCGTTTACGGCAGTCACTGTGACCCAGTACAGCCTGCCGGGCTGCAGCGTGCTGATCTCAATACTGTGTGTTCCACTGTCCACTGTCCAGTTAAAAGACTTCAGTTCCTCAGACTCCACACACCACACCTGTCAGAAAGAACAGCATAGTAAAACATTAACAAGCAGGCTGCCACACATACTATATATCTGTCATTTTATATGTGATGTTTAGGCCAGTCTGATATCAATGATACCGTAATAATAGACTAAAGCAGTGGCTAAAAAATGTAATGGTGCAGCATTCCCTGCTAATGCTTGTATAAACAGCAACAAAGAAATTAGTGGAAAATATGCATCAATTTTCTAGTCAGAAAATCTGAATGGTGGACTAATTTAAAAAAGTGACTCTAAATACTGTAAAAAGACAGAATCTGATTTTGGCAGATTCGTGTCACTTTTTATCTGATCAGAGAGTCTAGAAATGTCTAAGGCTGAAAATAGTCATTATCTAACTGCTTCCAGGCTTCTTTTGATTAAAAATTAAGTTGAATTAAATTAATTAATTTTTAGGAACTAGAAATAAATTATACATTCACTTACGAACATGTTCCTCCATATCTGCTGGAGAGAAAGGCTCTCGGGGCATTAGTAGCTTTAAAAACGGTTTCACAATGAGTGACTTCACACAAGTAATACCTGATATCCCTGAATGATCCCATTGTGAGCGTCATGAGGGGGAGGATCCCAGCTGAGGTGCGCGGTGTCATTACGGTCAGTGGGCATTGTTATGGACACATCCTGAGGTGGTGCGCTGGGAACTGACAACAGGGCACATGGTTACATTTGGCACAAGGTGACACAGTTTGGTTTTAATTGTCCAATAGTTTTTAGTTCTGTAGGATTTTTTTTCATGTTTTAGAAAGAAGTCTCTTATGTTCACCAATGCTGCATGTATTTGAAAAAATATATATTTATTTTATACAGAATATATCAATGCATGTCAAAAATACAGTTAAAACAGTAATGTAGAGTGAAATATTATTGTAATTTAAAATAACCATTTTCTATTTTAACATATTTTAAAATGTAATTTATTTCTGGGATGCAAAGCTGAAATTTCAGCATCATTACTCCAGTCTTCAGTGTCACATGATCCTTCAGAAATCATTCTAATATGCTGATTTGGTGCTCAAGAAACATTTCTTATTATTATGAAGGAAATTGGAAATTATTATGGAAAGTGTGGTACATATTTTTCAGGATTTTTGATGAACAAAAAGTTTTAAAAGACCAACACTTATTTGAAACCGAAATCTTTTGTAACATAAATGTCTTTACCATCACTTTTTATTTAATTAATGCATCTTTGCTGAGTAAAAGTATGATTTTCCTTAAAACAATTCTTACTGACCTCAAACTTTGAATGTATAAGTGAACAAAAGAGTATACGTAAGGTATAAGAAGTAAACAATGTAGGATAAATTAAGTAACCACAATAATATAGTTTTTTTTGGACGTCCTACGATATTACTACGGTATTGTTTAAAGTATCATGCAAATACTATGGTATGTAATAATCATTAATAAAGCAGCACCACCACAGTACTTTTTTACTGTAGATTCTCACCTATCTCTGGCACTCGTAAGTGTCTGGTGTTGCTCTCCCTGCCGTACAGGCTCCCGCCGTAGGGTCTGACTTTGAATTCGTACTTGTAGCCTCTCTTCAGAGGTCCCACATGAGTGTGAAGGCCAGGCTGAGGAACCCTTTGAGCTGTCCACTCTGAGCTGGCAGGCAGGAGAGAGCGATACAGCACCTCAAAGCCTTCAAGATAATGAGGCTGTGACATAGACGACTGCAACTACATACAGAAAGAAAACAGTTACTTAACAAAGTACAATTATTTGACGTGTGGTGCATGTTTGGTCAGGGATGAGCTAATCTGCATTACCCTCCACATGACTTGAGACATGTTGGAGGCTGTGCTCATAACTGTGACGTTCTCCAGGCTCACACGTAAGGCAGACAGCTCCTTGTGTAGGTCTCGCAGTCTAGTGCTTCCTGTATCTGTAACATTTATTAACCAGACATCACTAATCTCAACAGGGTGAGTGGAATACAAATGGCATGCTGGGAAGTGGTTGAAATGCACATGCTGTTTTAGAAAAAAAGTGATTGACTGCTGTTAATTGAATGATTACTTGTATTCTTACCCTCTACAAGAAGCTGTGCGCTGGCCACAGACACCCCGAGCTTATTCTCTGCAGTGCAGGTGTACCTGCCCATGTCCTGAGCCGTCACATAGTGGATTTGCAGACTGTGGTCTGGGTTGATTAAATATCTGCCAAATGTGATTGTAAAAAGAGCTTAGGGATGTGAATCGTAATTTCACAATCTATTATGTATTATGTAAATACTGCTCAGCTATTAACACATCATTTTATTCATAGAATTTTAACAAATAAATTCTGAATAAAAAGTCATGAAATCAAAATGGACAATTCTTATTTTTATGGAATATAGCAATGTTTATGAAAAATTATTCATCTGTGCACATAATTTTGATCGCCCCCTGGTGGCTGGCTGCAGTATAGGTCATAAACCCCACCTAATCAAATGGAATGCAAACCAAACTAAAAAAAAAGTCAAATTACACTTCAAATAATGTTTTTCCGAAGATGGTTTCTGTCATTTTAGGTAGTTCTTATCACGCTGGCGTATGTTCAAGGGTTTGTTTTTCCAACAAGTTTGGTTTTAGTTAATTTGATGCTATAAAAGCGGAGTGTAACGTCATGATTGACAGCTGCGCTTGCGATTGAGTCTGTGGGAGTAGGATTTTTGATACTAGGTTGACTACTAACTTGATACTAGGATCACTACTGCGCGGACTCAGGCTTCAAATGACATCAGCAGCAGTGACTGTTTCTGGGATATTTTGGCTTCATTTTTGTACAGTGGAAGGAAGTGAAGACATGTTGTCCATCTTTTTTACAGACTTTAGATAGCAACAGCAAACCACAACTATCCAATCAATCCTCATTTTTTTCTTGTTCGAGAAGCCATTTCACTCTGATATACGCCACAGTAGGGAAGAAAAGACTATCGCAACTTCCATTTCGTGCCAACTTATGGTTGAATCCAGGACATAAAGGTAAGCTAATTAATTTATAAACTAGGTCAACACTAATTAAGCATAAAGCAATCATATTTGCTAATGTTAGTAAAGGAAGATATGTAGTTTTACAGGAAAAATCAAACATTTAATATAGGGGGTCGATGGTTTGGCTGAGAGTTTGGGTCGGAAAAGGCCCTCCTGTACATGATTCAGTTTATTTAAAAGAAAAGTTTATTATTTTATGTATTATTTTTCATTTATTACACTCTTAGTGCTTAATGAATGACTGTAGCCTCATAAAAACCTACAGGTACTACATTCAAATGATGTGTAAAGATCAATAACCAGCATGTTTGTGATGGCCAATATGACGGGTCTGACCTGCCATTGGGTAGAGGTCCTTGGTCTCGGCTCCACTCTACAGAAGGCATGGGGTCTCCGTCAGCCTCACAGAAAAACTGTGCTGACTCCCCAAGCTGCACAGAGACATCCTCTGGTTTACGCAATAACATTGGCTTAGCTGAGGATGAATAACAGAAGCATGGGTGTTTGACATTTTAGAGCAAAGTGTAGATGTATTTGATTAAATATGAGTCTTAGAAATCACACCGTGTTGCATTAAAGCACATTAACAGGGCTCACCTAAAACAGACAGCCGAGCGGCACGGCTTTCCCTCACTCCAACTATGTTTGAGGCTATACAGCTGTAAACTCCAGAGTCATTCTTCTGGGCTGGAGCAATTATCAGTTTACCATTCAGTTCCTATATATGAAGGTAAGCAGACATATATTGTGATTCAGGCACACAAAACACTGTTCAGGGTACTAAGGATTCCCTTTCTGTGTTATACTGCCCTCTACAGACATATACCAAGAAGAGTTCTCAAGAAAAAGATATTAACAGACATTTGAAAACAATGTCAAAATAAAATACATTTCGCTCTTACACTATAATGTTCATTGCTGCTGTTGATGGGGATCCCGTCTTTCCTCCAGGTGACGTTGGGCTCAGGATGTCCCACGGGTGGGCTGCAATCCATCACAGCAACCTCACCAACCACCACCTCCACGCCACTGGGCTGCACACGGAAGTCCTCTCGCAGAGCTGAAAATAACACAATCACAATGATCTGAGTTTCACACATTCTTGAGTGAATTAAACTCAATCTATCTATATAATATATTCTGTAGTGCTATATATGGTGCTAAAAGGTTAACATGCAATACTGTTTAAAAGTTTGTGGTCAGTAAGATTTGATTTTTTTTTTAAAGAAATTAATACTTTTATTCAGCAAAGATGCAAAAATTACAGTTTTATAAAGTTACAAAACATTCATATTTCAAATAAATGTTGTTCTTTTGAACTTTATATTTATCAAAGAATCCTGAAATGCATCACGGTTTCCAACAAAAATTTTAAACAGCACAACTGTTTTCAACATTATTGAGCACCAAAAAGAGTAATGACTGCTGAAAATTCAGCTCTGCCATCAGGAATAAATTGCATTTTAATATATATAAAAATAGAAAACAGTTATTTTAAATTGTAATAATATTTCAGAATTTTACAGTTTTTACTACAATTTGTTTCAAATAAACACCTTGGTGAGCATGTGTCTTTCAAAAACATTTCAAAATCTTACCGACTCCAAACATTTGAATAGTAGTCTAAATGCTAATTGTCAGTTGTGGTAAAAAAACTAACAGAAATTCTGACAATCAGTTGCTACATTTCAGGAAAAAAAAATGTTTTGTAGATATTTTTCTTCATTAACGTCCTTTTGCTTTAGTAATCAGGGCCCATTGTCAACTCGTCTGATGTAGCTTGTTTATCTAACAGATGAATCGATGTAAACAAAACGCAAATTCATTGTGTGCAACAATTGATTTAACGTCTCAATCAGGTCCTGCTCCAATCCAGTGGAATGCAGAGTAAACGGGCCTGCCGAGGAATCTGTTTGGGCTACAAACACAGCATGCTGTCACAGCTCAATTAGTGCTCTGTTTGTTTCGGGCAGGAAAGCAAACTTTGACATCTGATCTTCAGTAATCTCATGGAACATCTTAATAAGCTTCCTCACCCTCTTGTTCCTTCAGAGCATTTAAGGTCTTGATAGGTCACTCATTGTTATCGGGGTCAAACAAGTGAGTTTATGTGGGAACTGACCGTGGAGATGGTTGTTTTGGACTCCATTGACTTATTTATAAAAAATAAAAAAAATGCTAAGACATTTGTCAAAATGTCTATGTTCATGTTCCACAAAACAACTAAATGCATATAGATTTTAAACAAAATGACAATGAGTTCATTCATTTTCAGGTGAACTGTCCTTTAAATATAAGGAAACATCACACTGCTGGCAGTGTCGTGATTCAAACCTGCTATATGAAGAGAGGCGTTTCTGCTGGTCGCAATCCCGACGCTGTTCCGAGCAACGCAGGCATACACTGCTTCATGGGACTGACTCTTTCGGCCGGGGACGACGCTGAAGAAGAACAAACTTCCTTCTGGTAAAACGATAGGCTGTGATTGCGCATCCATCTTGCTTATATCAAGTGGTTGGCCATTTCTGAGCCACTCAATGGTGGGCTCAGGGTTGCCCTCTGCCCTGCAGGATAGCGTGGCCGGGCTGCCCACCCGCACCACCACATCAGAGGGATGGTGGACAATACGGGGAAGGCCACTATCTGAAACGAGCCTGGAACCTGGAGGACAGAAAATGGAGAATCAAACACCAGTGACATCCACTAAACAAATACATTGAACAAATTCCAGTCCTGAGAGCTCGTTGAATTCTTTTGTTTAGGATGGCCTGATGACCCCGCGATGAGTAAGGAAAACACATTTCCTGTACGGAGTCAGTGCCGGAGGCTGTTTTTCCCACTCTAGAGAGGAACAAAAGCCCAGCACTTACAAACAAAGTCATAGACCAACAGGACATCCGTCACCTGTGTGCACCAAGGGCAGGAATGGCCCTCTGCTATTATTGGCCCAATTACAATGTCCTACAATGTCTCTTTGTACTCTCACGCCAAAACATGCCAATCACATGGGCATGAGAGGGTGTCCTTGAAACAAAAAAAAGCATTTGGTTTGGTCTTACAACAAGTCCTTGTTGTCTATCGGATTTGAAAAACATAAATGATGTTGGTAAACATAAACTGAAATAAGCCAAGTCTGTATGCTAAGTCTGTTCCTGATGCATCAAAAGTAAACTAGGGTCAAATGCACAATGGAGAATTTGAGCTATACATTCTTGGCAAAAATGTGTTTGACTATAAAAAGTTTCTATTGTCTCTGATGGGGCAGTTTCCTGAAAGAGAGGAAACACAGTCTCACAGTCCTGCTATGTCATTTTCACTGTGGAGGAATTTGGGAGAAACACTGGAAGTATGTAAAAAAAAAAGAAAAAAGAAAAAATGCTGCACTTTTAACAGTATTGTGACATTCTAAATGGGCTTTGAGACTGTTTAAAGGAAACAATAGAGATAATTTAAAAAGTGCTGTGCATAAAGGTTGATTTTTTTTTATAAACAGGCATTTGTTAGTATGAGGCGTGCCTTGCATGTAAATAACATTTCTCAAAATTTGGAGGAGTAACATTTAGACGGAGGCTACCTTATACGTTTAACATATAACTAAATTAATAATATAGCTATTGAAATGTTAACTTTTTTATATGATGATGGGGTTGAAAGGTATAGTAACATTTAGCCCACTGTTTGCATAATCAACTTATTCGTTCTTATATAACATCGTAAAAATTAATAAAGAAATACTTTAATCTAATTCAGTTATTATTATTGTCCAACACAACTATGAAATAAATCTAATCGTTTCTATAGTAATTATTGTACATTGAAACATAAAAAATATGTAGGCTTCGTAGCCTATCGGTCGTATGGATTTTTGTCGTTGTAAAATTTATAAATATTCTGTCAGAATTACAGGATTTCGTCATCACTAACACGACGATAGTTACAGACTGAAACAGTTAGTGCTTACCTTCAATATTATAAATAATCTCCAAAACCCAAAAAAGCTTGATAAAGTGTCTCGTCATATTACGTGTCACGTCGAATTCAGTTTATGAAAACAATCAAACGCATCGCTGTTTCTGCGTTACAAATCCGCAACAAAAACGCAATAGTTCTAATCTACAGGTAGCCCATCACAGTCATGTGTCTCTGTCGTTTCAGTCAGTATGAGTGTTGAACAGAGCGCCATCCGGATTGAGACCCGCCCCAGTGACTCGAGCAGTAGCAGGACTCAGGAGTTGATGACATGATGACCGGAGTGGATTTACCAACCCGCGATAACTAATGCCTCTAAACAGTAGCTGAGGTAAACGACACGTGTGACGTACAGTTTCCTGAAGTCGAGCTTTTGCCCTCTGTTTTTGTTTTGGGTTTGAATTCAAGACGACGTCGTTTAAACATACTTTGGGCCAAATTGTGTTCAGTTACTCATAAGGGAGAGGGAGGAGTGTTCGTTCGTTTCAATTAGTTTTTTTTTTTCTTCTACGACGTGTCTCGAACCCTTTTCTTTTCTTTTTTTACATGGCGACTACTTCTAGACAACTTTTGTCAGGAAGGTTGTGGTTATGATAGTGATTTCACTATTCTGTCAGTAATTTAATGTGTGATAAAGGTTTTAACAAATGTCTGTGTGATGACAGCATACAGAAACAGGAAAGCATTAGACCTCACAGCCAAGAAAAACTTCCTCTTTCCCAATTGTTGCTCTAAATTTCATGAGCCAGTAAAAAAAAAAAAAAAATCAGCAAGAAATATCTGAATAAATCCGATTTTTTTTTTACTTAATAGAATATAAAGTTTCCACGAAAAGTTATGCTCAAGTAACACAAACTTTTTCCCCCCATTAAATAACAAACTTGTTGCTTAGTTTCTTAAAGAATGTGATGAAAAGACAAAATAAAAATGAATCAAGAAGGTTTACAAAAGTGAAAGTTAAGCACAGCTGTTACTGTAGAACTAAAACAACACTGAGGGGCAACACTTGCTAATTCCAATTACTATTAAGTCTGTGTAAATACGGTCGCTGAGGGGGTGAGATGGAGTGAGAAGAAAACAGAAAGCGAAAAGAAAAGAGAAGAGAGAAAAGCAGAGGCGGCGGCAGTTCATTTTCTCGAAAGCCACATATAAATAAAGTGTTGTTTAGAGAACTGTCCATTGTGTGGCCTAAAAGAGCAAGCCACACTGATGGACACGTATATTGATCCAGAGAGCAGTGCCTTGATGGCCCTGTGGATCACCAGCTTTCAGCGACTAACAAAAGATGTTGAGGGACTATGGGGCTGCATACCACAACACAGAATTAAAGCTGCACCGCAAAAGAAGCCCAGGCTGATTTAGCGCTTAGACTAACTTTTCAGCACGTTTTACTCATAAATAATTCTCTTTGAATTGAATTTCTTAAGAGTCCGAGTATGAGCTTAGCATTATTTATATACAAAACTGTCTGAAATAAGGAATAAAGCATGCTTTTAGTAACAAGTGTTTTTTTTTATATAATGAAATTTACAGAATTATATATATATATATATATATATATATATATATATATATATATATCAGTTGGGAGGATTTTTTTTATTTTCATAGAATAGCAAAGGAAGAAGAAATTGATTTAATTGCACCAATTTTTCCTCTTGTTCATCACTTTCCAAAAGTCAAACAACATCAACTATTCAACAAATCATTCACAAAGTTTGCTTGGATTGCCATCCACTAAAAGGTCAAATATACCATAAACTACACCAACTAAAGTTTTTTAAACAGTGAAATTTCAAAATAGTCACGTAAATGCAACACAATACCGTAACGCTAACGTAATAAACCCTTCACGTGTAAATTAAATTAACAGTGACCACAAGTGAAAATCATGAAGTGAAAAAAGACTTTATCAAGTTATCACTGTCTTTCTGATTTCATGGTTTGGACCCCTTGCTGATATGCCGAGAGAGCGGCTGCCGAAACTATTAGATTCTGAATAGCATTACCATTAGGTTCAGAATAAAAATTACCATTTTTATATATATACAGATTTAGAATAAATTTATATGATTATGTGATTATTCTTCAACAAAACAATCTGTTTATGCGTAATTAAAGGAAATCATCACGGTTTTACATCATTAAGTTTCATAACAATGCTGTACCTCCCCCCCCAAAAAAAAAATCCATTGGTTTTACCTTTCCTGCGATGGGCCCTCTCCCTGTGTGATGCCCGCTGGTGTGCCAGACGATGGCGAAGGTGCCCTCTTCCCTCTGACCTCTCTGATCTCTGTGCCACCTGCTCGTCAGGTAGGCATGCGCACTGGCATTGGCAGTGGCGCGCCGCCTCGGTCCAGGTACACAGCCATGCCACCCACAGCAGCCATGCTGACACCTGCATCTTCAGCTTAAAGCTCCTCTCCTCTGGCTTTGCACCGTCCACTACACCATCCCAACTTCCCAACTGTGGCTAAGACCGATCCACCCTTCTCCCCACAGTCCTCGCAGTGCTAAATTATCGAGAGATTGTTATAAAGAATGTTTTTCTTTATATTCCACAAATGCTTTGTATTTACTTTCCCTCCCTCTTTTATTAAGCGCTCCCTCCACTCTCTCCCTCCTCTTTCTCGCCTCGCTTTTCTCTTTTGGGAAAGAAGTTGGCGGAAACAATGATTGAAAAACAAGTTTCAGGCCCCATGCTGGGAGCGCGGGAGAGGAGGAGAGGGACGGGGACTGTCTCCTCCAACAACATCTGTGTCATTCGTTCTGCACGTCCCAAGGAAAACAAGGCCCGGGAGTGAACGGGGAGGGGACGGAAGAGGATCTCCCATACCGACAGGGATCAGTTCCATTAATCAAGTGTCTGCTAGTTGACTGATCAAATCCTTCAGAATGACATACTCTCGCGCACTTTAAACATCAAACGGGTGAAAACGCATTGCCTGACTGCTATTGGCTCGTACCACAAAAGGCGAAGTAGACACCCTTCATTTCTGCATCAAGCTACTCTCTCAAAGGCATGAGAGAGGGAGTGTTTTTAAACAAAACTGACCCTCTCCAATGGCTTTGGCTGCTTGTCGGTCATGAAAGGGATGGCTTTTGTTTGAGGGGATTCTCACTTTCTCAACACAATTTCTATTTTACGCTAAGAGGAGAGGTGAGCGGACCGAATCGCTAATGCAACTGGAACGTTCTCATTTGTCGAAGTGAAGACGTTTCGCTCGAAGTGGAGATCATTTCGATTTTCACACTTAAACATTTCAATTATTGGACAACAGAAACCTAGTTGAATTTGATTACTGAGTAGCAAAGAGAATGAGAAAAGATGTTGGCCTTTTCTTTTCCTTTCTTCCTTTTTGGTTCACGTATGTTCAAAGATTTTTCACCGTTCACAAAGCAAAAAGCAAAAAGGGAGAAATTTGTTCCTCTTTGCGTGCACAGTATGTGTTCCACTCATCACAGAGGTTGAATCAAATGGGACCGAGAAAGCAATTTGTCTCATGCAGTCTGGTCTTGTGTTCCACTCACCAGTCCTGCTGCTTCAGCATAGAAGAACAGAAGAAACATGCTGAGTTAACAGACCTGACCTGATCGGGGTTTAATTCCACAAATCTCCCAATTTATTTAAGACTGTAAGAATATGGACGGATAGAATATTACAGGTTGTACAATACTATTGCTCTTACTCAATTTTCAGTGTCAGCCAGTTTAGCGAAAGTTGTATTTTGACCTTAAAATGCACTTTCAATGTTGTTGGTGCTCTTAAATGGATAGTTTACCAAAAATAAAATGAATATTTTGTCACCATTGAATCACTCTCATGTAATTCAAAACCGCTATGACTATTCTGGGAAACACCAAAAAGGAAAATGGAGCTTTCAAGCTGAAAGGGATAGTTCAAGGGGAAGCTCAAAGGTGCTGCGTAACACACGAGAATGAACCTCATTGGTTTTGTTGTTTTTGTGGAAGCTCAAATGTGCTGTGTGAAACACGTGAATAAACCTCGTTGGTTCTCACACATCAAGCGAACATGCTTGAGCTGTCGTTTACCACAACTGATGTGTGTGTTTATGAATGTTTATATGTGAATAAAAACCTAAATCTAATATGTTCATCATATAAAGTGATCGTGTCTCTTCAGACAATTTGGAGTAAGCCGCTCAATTCATATGGATTAATTTTACGATCTCTTTATGATCTTTTTGAAGCGTCAAAATGTAGCTGTCAGAGTGACAGAAAGCTCTCAGATTTCATCAAAAGATCTTCATTTGTGTTCCAAAGATGAATGAAAGTCTTACAGGTTTGGAAGGACATGAGGGTAAGTAATTAATGACAGAATTTTCATTTTTGAAACACTAAAAAAGTGTTCCAGACAACTTATGCATAACGCTCCATTTCAGATATTCTGAAGTCATACAATTGATTTGTGTGTGGACCAAAATTTAAAGGTGCAGTGTGTAACATTTTTGAGTATTTATTAACAGAAATGCAATATGACATCCATAACTATGTGTTCAGTGGTGTATAAAGAACTTACTTAATAAACCGTAATGTTTTTATTACCTTAGAATGAGGCATTTATATCTACATAGGCGCGGGAATCCCCTTCTATGAAGGTCGCCATATTGTGACGTCATGTTTCTACAGTAGCCGAACGCGAACAAACAGCGTTACAGAGCGCGTTTCGTCACTACATTGAAAGAGAAGCCGCAGGAAGCTAGAAGAAGCTAGTCATAAACACCGTGAGTAGTGACTTTTCCCTTGTCAGTGGTGTAAATATGTAGTTGGATTGTTTCATGTAACTTAATTCTTCTCCCTCGCTGTGTTATGGCTTTGCTATGTGGGGATAAATGTGCTGGTTAAGTTCGTGAGACAGCTGATTAGTAGGCTACTCTTGTCATTGACCGTAAAACAGTTACAGGAATCACCAACCCGTCGATCTTGGAAGCATTTTAAGTCGATCGAGTTTCCAAAATCAGAGAAAAAAAGCCTATTGTGTGTGTAGTAAGTGTGTCTAGGGGATGCGGAGGCGCGCGCGCTGTTACAATCACGTCATTTTTGCCGCACGCACCTTTGGGCTCATGCGGACGCGTCGAGTTTAAACAAGGCTTTACGCTTAACGAGCTCAGCCACAGTAACAGCTCATATTAGCCAGCTAAACGTTTACTACCCTGTTAGAAAACATATATAGTTGCATATTTTCATGTGGTTCTTCTCCCTCGCTGTATTATGGGTTTGCTATGTGGGGAGAATGTGCTGGTTACGTTCGTGAGACAATCAGCTGATTACTATCATTATATTATGTATTAAGACCCTTGATCCTCACCTGAAACTTTATCCATGATGTGGTTTATAATGGACTGTGGTACAGAAACTTGGTTTACGCTGGCTATTCTCTGCTGTCTCAGTCGACGATGTTTGTCCCGTTTTAGCCACCGTAGCTTCTTCGAAAGGGAGGGGTGAGCGGTGGGCTGAGCCCTTAGTGTAAACTCGCAACCGAACCGCTAGATGTCGCCAAAAATCACACACTGGACCTTTAAGTCGTCATTCACTCATAATCTTATCTCCCAATGAGCTGTTAACCAGTGCAACCAGATATTGCGGTAATGAGTCAAGAACTCTCTCAGTCTAATTTGTGAACGAATCATTCAGAACGGTATTGTGAACCAGGTCAATCGATTCATTGAAAATGTCTGTTTAAAAAGAATGACATCATACTTCTCTCTTGAGAGCTAGAGCGGATGTAGTAAATAACAATTACATTTTTAATCTGTTCACAAGACAAAGCTGTCATATGACTTCAGAAGACTTAATTGTAGTACACAAGTCTCTTTTATGATACAGCTATTCGCTTTCATTATATTGTAAAGAATGGACAGAATATTCATCAAAACTCACTATTTGAGGCCAGAAAAAAAGAAAGTTATACCTAAAAATAAACATAAAACGAAAGTCCCCATAGACTTTCATTGTAAGTGCATTACTGTCATTCAGCTGCTTCTCAGAATGAATGAGCAATGAATTTTATGTGGAACAAGTTCCTAAACCAAATTTACCATTTTCAGATTTCACTGACCACCCATATTGCAAACCTTGGAATATGACCTTGGAATCAAAGACTATTCAATTGTTCATTTAATGATCACTTCTCACTGTACCCCCTACCAGGTAACGGGTCATGTCAAGTGACCCTGGTCAGTGCCCAAAAGAGGCCACGCTTCAGCCCTCCATGGGGTGTCAGAATGTCCCCACAAAGGGCTATTCCAGCTCACGCTGACCCTTAAACTGTGCCTTAATTTTCAGTGCAGGAGGATGGAGACTGCACTAATCTTCCCAATGAGAGAGATCGAGACGGAAAAAATAGGTAGAAAAAAAAAAACAAGTCTTTGAGGAGACATTTGACGGCCGGGTAAAAACTTAAGTCTTCAGTATCACATAAGCTTTCAGAAATCATGATATGCTGATTTGGTTCTCAAATATAAGCAGATTTAGCTGATTTATAGTTTATAAAGAACTGCATTTCTTTAAAAATCTTTTGTAACACTATAAATGTATTTATTGTCACGTATTAGCAATTTAATGCATCCTTGCTGATTTTTTTATTTTATTATTATTTAATTTATTCACTTGAGTAACAATACAACATGTATACAAATTTAAATGAGAAATTCCAGGAAAATGTTTGCTGCCAATATTCACAACAAATATTTGCTATTGTTGTGAATTAATTTTTTTTAATTATATAGTTATTTTTTTTAAATATACAAAAAAAAATATACACATAGCCTAAAGATATTAGTAATGATAATAATCAAATGTCTTTATTTTCCAACCCCTTGCACATCCATAAAACACAATTCTAATATTTGAGTTTACTGTAAGTTAATTTTTATTAATTAATAATCTTATTTAGCTTGACTTCCACTTTAGCTCCCACATTTCACCTCACCTGACCCCACACCTATGACTGACCTGAGACATTTTGCATCCCACAACAACCAACAGGAATTGTGTTGATAGACTTGCACAATTTTCCTTCACAGATTCCAAAGTGGAACAAATTATACGAGAAACATTTATCCAACACCGTTTAGATGAAAAATTCTCAGGGATGGAGTCGGGGGTGAAGGGTGGGCTTGTGGAGCACAGAGATGGAGAATAGAAGGCCAGGGGTGTGAGGGCAAAAGTTCTGCTTGAATGGATCACAAAGCAGGATCTAGTGTTCACCCCGCTCCCCTCCTCATCCCTCCCCCTCTCCCGCGAGCCTCGGTAGCACCCACACCCATATCCTGGGCCGCTCTTACACCTCTCCGGCTCTGCATCCCCCTTTTGCTTTCTTTCTCTCTCCCTCGTTCTTACTCTCTTTGTATGTCCAGCTGGCTGCCCTACAAAGCCTCCAGCTCAGACTCCCAATGAGCCCTGCTCCCTTCGATGCTTTGTTCTGCCGTTTTTCCCACTCCCTGGAGAGAGAGAGAGTCACTACCAGCACGGACAACAAGAAGGGATAAGGAAAATGACAGAGAGAAGGACAGGAAGAAATTGAAAAGAAACAAAAATAAGTCAAGTGTGGTTGCAGTCAGCGATTACAGAGCGGTACATTAGCGAATCTGTTATGTAATGTCATTTCTCAGCCACCTGCTGCAGCTATGCCACTTCTTCCACACAGATGGCTCAGAGCTTCCTTGTTTCCCTTGTCCCTACTTCATATGATAACTATAACATTGATTATCGTAAATGTTGCAGTATTTACACGACTTCGAACTGATTTTCTTTTGGAAACCTTCTATAAACACATTGGTTTTCTAAAATGGCACCTTTCAAAATGATTCTTTTCGGAGAAAATCGGTTTCTCAAGGTTAAGCATCTTGTATGTTATTATATCCCACTTATTGAAGGCGTTCAGTGTGTCTGTGATCCTTTTGGTTTGATTACACAAACCGTTTCATGTACCAGTCCATCCGTCCGGTAGCCTGTTTCTCAAGCTCTGGTAGATCTCCGGCGATCAGCTTGCAGAAAGGCCTCAGTGTTGCGATGTGGGCCGGAACTAATAGGATTGGATTTGATTCATTAGATTCTCTTTCATCGCACTGGTTGGAATTTCACTGCACGTCCTGCCGGACTCCCCACTTTTAAATGAGGATCGCACGAAGACCTTAAGGGTGAGAGCTAGCGCAACTGAGACACGGCCTCGCCTCGCTTCTTGCTCACATTCCCACAATCTCCCTGTATAAGAACCTCCGGATATATGAGTGTATGGGATGATTTCCAGGATATTCCAAGTTTTTCAGCATGACCGCTAATTCAACTGGCTGCTTTTCTTTGCTTTGTAATGGACAAAAGTGTAGGTTCTACTGTGGACTATTATTGTCATGTTTGATTTGACACACACATTTGATCAACTAACATGTTTTACATCAGGTTTGGAGCTTGTTATTTATTGTCTTCATGCTGTAAGGATCACAGCACACGTACAACACGCCTGTGAAAATAATAAGACGTCCATCTCCCTTGTGAAGTTTGCCTCCCAGAGAGATTTATGAAAATGAAAGTAAACGTCTGAGGCAACAAAGGGCCCACACGGAGTATTCGCCTTGTTAAGAACAAAATAATCAACTTTCACAGCTTGAAGCTTTGTTGGACCGCCCAACTTTGCTCCCTTCGTCTTTGTGGTATTGTGCGGAGAGTGAGACAGTGTCTTAAAGAATGCTTCCATAGGAACAAAATTAGCATGTCAATATGGGAGCGAGAAAATGAAATTTGTCTGGTTTGAGCCGTGAATGAGTGAAATTCGAGTTTGCAGATTATCAATTAATGGATTAGAATGTGAATTCAGTGCATTGAAGGGACCAAAAATATTCACTGATTATGACTCAAGTGCCTTCTGCAGTGTAAAACGTATGCAATTGTGATGCAGTTAGACAGACTAGGTCATTTATATGTCCAAATCATCCAATCACCCCATTCCTGATCATTCTAAGATTCAAGATTTGATTCATATTAAATAATATTAAACTGCAAATAAATGAAAGATCCACCTTTGATTGTCAAAGAAATTCAGTTCACTCTCAAGCAATAAGATTTCATGTAGCATTTTCATCGGGTCAGTCGTGGAAAAACTTTTGCGTTCCCCTGAACATCTCAAAAGTTTTGCGAGCGAACGCAAGGTTTCTTGGGAAAATGCAATCATTTTGCGAGCGAACGCGAAGAGCGTTGTGGAAACACAAAACATTTGTGATAGAAAGCAAAAGCACATTTTTTTCTCCCCCAGTCATGTCCCTTTAGGGTCTCCGTAGTATAGAAAACGCCATAAAATGGAATGTTTTGTCTTATCTTCTGCCAGGCAAAAATGTAGGTGTGATCACTTTAAAAGTGCAATGCCACCTCTCATAAACAAACCAAACAATTTGAGATGTCTTTCTTGAGTTAATAATGTCCGATTAGAGAATGGATCTTTATTTTGAATCCCACTTTAATTGGGCACAACTGGGGCAGAGAATCAGACTTCGATTATCAATACGATTGAGGTTTCAAAATGATTGAGGTGCCCTTGAGCAAGGCACCTAGCCCCCAATCAGGTGTGTGTCCACAGTTTGCAGTGTGTGTGTTTACTACTCACTGCTCCTAAAGTGTGTGCACTAACTTGGATGGTTTAAATGCAGAGGACAAATTCCGAGTAGCCTATGGGTTACAATACTTGGCCTTCACGTCATCTCTCGCCACTTCACTTAATGAATCATTTGATCAAGTTAATTCATAATTCAGACTCATGAAAGATTTCCTAAGCAAACACCAATAATGGAAGAAATGAACAAACTGGAAGTTTGAGAAAAATAGATTGTATTCTTTTTAACAGTAAAATACACAAAATTACGAAATTGCAACACACAGGAAAAAAGCCTCAGAGAGAAACTACTACATTGAAACTACATCAAAAACTTTACCCAACCACACCCTCCTAAACATTTGCAATGCATATGCTGCATGCAGGCCAGTCTATGTTGTGCTCTCAGAGAGATGTGGACGTCTCTGATTTGGACAGAAAGACAAAAGCTCTGGAACCTTCTGCTGTCCTCTCATCTCAAGCGGGGCTCGTTGATCGACGGCGCTGCCAGGTTGGCTGCCCTGCTTTGGGATATCTGTAGGAGTTTGGCACATGAAGCCTCACGGTCTAGTGTGTTCTCAGGGGCTTGGCATACACGGGCTCCAGGAAATGTAAGGGCAGCAACATGAACAGGGCTGCCAAGAACACCACACTCACCAAGGACAGGAGCACGTACCGGCCGATGAAGAACATATCCACTATCTGAAAAACATCACAGGCTTACGTTGTGAATTATACAACATATTATACAGTTACTGGAAAGTAATTAAAGCCATGGGGGCTTTGATGTGTCCATTAATATTTTTTAATGAACATGAAATATATTTAGTATGTTCTGCTTTTCTCCACTAGAGGTCAGCAGGGTTCTTTTAAGAAATTCTGACTGCAACCTGAGGCACCTCACTAGACCATTTAACACAGAACAAGACACTATTAAAGTGCCATAAAGAGCTTTTTTTACCAAAATGATCTTGAGAACAGAGTGAAACTAAAAATAAAAACATCGATTTTAATAAGAAATACTAGAAGGATGTCTGAAAACTTGAGTACTGGCTTGTTTTGTTATCACAGGCATACAAATATATTAAAATAGAAAACAATTATCTAATATAAACTAGAAATATTAAATATTTAATACATGCAAACTAAATCTATCTATGGTAATACCTGATAAATAGATTAACATCATATGTTATATTCAATATTCAGTATAAGACAAAATGTTTAGATATAAATATCCTTAATTTAATAGTTTGTTTCATATTTATGTAGCATGATTTACCCTTATTTTAGCATACTCTTAGCCTGGTTAAAACCAGACCATTCTCAGTTGTAACTGAGTTATGGTCAGGCAAAGCGTCATAGACAAATCATTTCCAAAGGGGCGTCACCAACGGACGTCACTCAAATGCAATCAGAGCGATGAAGGAGATGACGTATGCAGAGCGGCGGAGAAACATCTCCGAGTGTTGTTCTTTGCTCGGTTTTTAACAAAAAGGAAACGTTCGAATCGCTTAAAACAGACGCGATAGCTGATTCGAACGAGTGATGTTCGACGGCGGTATCCATCTTTGTAATGTAGGCTACAAAATCTGCTTCAAAATCCCAGCGCTGTCGTCATCGTGTAAAGCCCGCCCCAACGTTTCTGATTGGTGCCTCGATTTCGGCGGATTGGAAATGGGCTTGAATGAGCTCTTTGCCAGACTTAATTTCAGAGCAAATCTAAATTTGCCGAAGTTGTCTGGGTTTTCCCAGGCTAGCATACTCTCAGAAAACTATAACTTTCTTGCCATTATTTCTTACTCTGCTGTCTGGTTTTCCTCCATGTTAGAATTAAAGCTGAACAGGGTGATAGTGTTGAATACTAATGACACTCTACATCCCTACGGACCTGAACTAGAGTATGAGGCCTAAATCATGAGAGAGGCCACAACCTACATTAAACTACAGACAGAGAGATGTCTTTGTGTGTGTCTATGCATGTGTATGTGGGAGGGGGCTCTGTCTCCAGCGAATGCAGTGTTCTCTCGTTTAACGCATCTCACTTTCTAATTTGCCAATTAGCTGGCTAGCGAAGCACAGAGCAGAGGCCATGTTTTATTAATGTGGCATCGAATGTGCGACAGTGAGCTCCTGTTTGGGGCCGGCCTAATTGGCACTGTGATATTATTCCTTTGTACAACAGCGAGGGGTTACCAGTTTCTCATACAACACTGTCACCTATCAAGAAAAAAACTATTATCTAGTCATACCCGCTGCAAGCAAATCAGCAATGGGTGTAACATGGATTTGGCGTTATGCACAAATAAGAGTCTAGCACAACGAACGGTACTACATGCATGCTTATAGCACTAAATAAATGAGAGACTTTGTTACAACAGGAAGCCACTGTGGCACAATGATGGAGATTGTCTCATGTTTTGTTTTTTAATTTATCTTTCTGTTGTTCCAATTTAGGCAACTATCAGACCTTATATTCATTACTAAATTGGTTCAAACTAACATACACACAAACATACATGATTTCTAAAAGGTGCTTGTTGACATCAGAAAATGTAACCTAACATCTCAAACCTGATTTGTAAATCTGAGAACATCTTTTGCGAGATATTACAGAAATTAACTACACTATGCAACCTGTGAGATCTCAAGTCTATGAATCAAAACAAATGTAATCTTTTTCAAGCTGAGAGCAGCGGGTAATATAATAATTTAAGGTTGAAAACAAGAGAATGTTTGATTCAGTCAACATGTTTCCGTTCTGCTATCAAAGACTGAAAGGTAAATGGTTTGTTTTTTGTTTGTGCAGACAAGAGGGTGGCTTGGCAGCTCAGAGCGTTGGTTTTGGCAAAGACAGACTTTAGGAAAAAGCTGTTGTGTTTGTGCTTGTCTGCTGTTGAGGAGAGATAAACTAGAACATGTCTTTTTTTCAAATATAACTCACACAAAGAGCTGTACAGTGCACCTAACACTATTCAAGCATGAATGTCAGAATTCAATAAGTTATCAAATCACTCGTACATGAACTTTTCATTTAAAAAACATTAGCAAGTATAGGAGAATTCAAGATTGTACAACATGTATTGTTCAACTGCATGTTAACGCAAATATCTAAGCAGCCAATCACATGGCAGCAACTCAATGCATTTAGGCATGTAGACATGGACAAGCCGATCTGCTGAAGTTCAAACTGAGCATCAGAACGGGGAAGAAAAGTGACTTTGAACGTGGCATGGTTGTTGGTGCCAGACGGGCTGGTCTGAGTATTTCAGAAACTGCTGATCTACTAGGATTTTCATGCACATCCATCTCTAGGGTTTACAGAGAATGGTCCGGAAAAAAGAAAATAACCAGTGAGCGACAATTTGCATGAGCTCACCGAAATTGGACAATAGATGTAGGGGGCTGACTTTGTCATTAACAGCATGAAAGCATGGATCTATCCTGCCTTGTATCATCAGTTCAGTCTGCTGCAGGTGGTGTAATGGTGTGGGTATCTCTACCAACTGAGTATCATTTAAACACCACAGCCTACCTGAGTATTGTTGCTGACCATGTCCATCCCTTTATGAGCCACCTTCTGATGGCTACTTCCAGCAGGATAACGCACCATGTCACGAAGCTCAATTAATCTCACTATTAATTAAGTTCACTATACTCAATGTCTACCACAGTCCCCAGATCTCCAATAGAGCACCTTTGGGATGTGGTGGAACAGGATATTCATGAAACTGATGCTATCATGTCAAATGTTTCCAGGACCTTATTGAATCTACGCCATGTATATTTATGGTAGTTCTGAAGGCAAAAGGGGTCCAACCCGGTACAATAAAGGTGAACCCCTCTATGCACGGCGGTATTTCCGGTGAAGGTCTAAGGAAGCTGGATTACTTCCGCCGATCGTAGAGTCCAATGCTATACCGAGAATTTATATTGGTTTTTATACTCTATTGCTATACTAAAGAAACGTTAGTCACAAAAACAGACACCCCTCATTTTTGTTTATGCTTCTTTGTTTATTATATTAAATAAACACAACTATATATAAAATCACATCTAAACGTATTAAAGTTTCGTTTCAAAGACGAGAGGACAGTAAATTTTGAAGGCTCTGCCATAATCCCGGTTTCCTCGCTTTTCCCCCGCTTTAAATCTCCCCAACCGGAAACGCAAGAGAATCCTTGCATCAAACGCGGAAGTTATGCGTGCATATAGCCCATAAAGTGGCCTGAGTATATATTAAAATCATGACTGATAAATCTACGATGCACTCACCTGAACTGCTCTCTCAGGCGAGGGAACTTCAGGTGCGCGAGGGAAAAAGACTAAAACCAGAGTGATGGTGAGCGCCAGAAGAAATATAGGGATGATCCCTAACCTGGTGAGGCAATAACATCGTGATTATTCATGATACAACACTACAGAGCAATGCTGATGCAAGTTCTGTGTCGAAAACATAAAAGTATGTTCTTACTTAGTTGGGCCGGTTGCGCGCGACAGAACGATGGCGAGCACGAGAGTCACTATCCAGGTTAAAGCAATGATAAACACACCTGTCCCAACGCCCAACACCACATAAGCCATCCTCGCCTCTCACGCTGCGAGTGCCTGCCCTGGACGAGTGAAGTATCTTTTGCTTTTAGGCAGCGTTTATGATGGCTGCGCGCGCTAAATCCGCCAAGTCTGGAAGTAAGTTAGGCTATATCAAGTCGATGTTATGAAAGCAAACCATGTGGCGCGTACATCTTCAAACTGCTATTAGTAGAAATATACTGTTAGTACGATGTTTTTACTCAGTTCCACTTGCATATTACGAATAAACGGTGGAAAACATGCAGTTCATCAAAATAACGTGCTTAAACTAGCAAACTAATCCATTATAAACATTTTACGGCTAAGCAGTTTGTATATTTACATAATAAAACAACCAAATGATGAAACCAGCTACGTAATTGTAAATAATATATTGATTTACGCCCAGATGCATGCTGCAGAAAATCTAAAATATTTCCATGGAAACCCAGTCGCTTCTGTTTATCTCTACACTTCCTGTGTCGCAAATGGACCAATCAAGTTGTAGTATCTGGCGAGCAGTATGCTGGGAGTTGTAGTTTTTCTGAATACTGGGCATAGACTAGAACCGAATAGTACACATTTACGTTGCCTTGCAATCTCTCTCTCTCTCTCTCTCTCTCTCTCTCTCTCTCTCTCTCTCTCTCTCTCTCTCTCTCTCTCTCTCTCTCTCTCTCTCTCTCTCTCTCTCTCTCTCTCTCTCTCTCTCTCTCTCTCTCTCTCTCTGTGTGTGTTTCTCCATGCTCTCCTTGAAAATGTATATATTTGTGTTTGTATTTTTCTCAATCTTTTTATGGAGTTCTCTTTCCATTATTCCCTTTATTTATTTAAATATATATTTCATATATTGATGATTTGCTAGTGACAATTTAAAAGGCAATTATTTAATATTGATGACACGTTCTCTTGGTAATATCACACTGTGAGTCTCTATACAGGAAATATATAGGCTAGCTCCCTTTAGCCTATGCTATGGGAATTCATATGGCATAGTTTATCCAGATTAGCCTTTCTCAGCTGCATCTTAGCTCGTTGCCTATTGGTTAAATTTCTAGGAGAATAACTAAATATACATTTAGGATTTGACCAAGTGGCTTTTCTTCCTCTTGCACAAATAACACTTTAAAAATTTTAAGTCTGTCTTAAATTTTTAAGTATAATCAACTTGGCTGTGTAAGTCATTTCAACTTAAATTGCATTGAACTGACTTAAACAATGAGTTGAATCTCGTAGCCTATAACTTAAAAGTTGAATTCATGTAAAAACATTTGTTGTCATTACTGATCTTTTTTTTTTTTTTTTACAGTGATAGCCTATTTTCCCTCTGCTTTCCAAAAACTAACAGCCAAGGCGACCTGCAGCCGAATGTAAGTCTCATTTGATGTCGATAGGTGGCCAGCGGGCTCCACCGTTAATGAACCGGAGATGCGCGTGCTGGGCCCGGGGTGTTCGGTATACGGCACGGAATAATGCCAGTGGAAGAGGAACCGCGGAGGTCTACACTCGGTAGAGAGGGGTACGGAGAGAGAGAGAGGGAGAGAGGAGGGGGGAGATGGTGGGAGGGGTCTGATATGGCAGACGTCACGGCTTGTGTAGGGGAGTATAGGCTGTGTTGTCAGCCTGGTGTCAGTCTGATGAAGATTGGCATTCAGGTAAGCTGTCATTCATTTTCAATGTCAGAGCGCGGAGCGGGCGAACACTCCAGCCTGTTTTTTTTCCCTCTCGCTCTCATTACAAAAGGCAGGACATTATTCATACAGACTGGCCGAGGGCTGAGGGGAGAGAATGATAGACAGAGAGGGAGAGAGAAAGTGAGGGAAAGAGAGGGAGAGAGAGAGAGAGAGAGAGAGAGCGTGCGTGCGTGAGTGAGCGGGAGGGAGGAGGAAGAGAACGAGTGCGATAGAAGGAGGGAGGAAGAGAGGAAAGACTGTAGAAGATGCCGTGCAGTTTGGGGAGCGCTTCTTTGTGGATGAATTTATGGTGGATGATGCGTTTGGATTTGTGAAATGTGGTGGTAATTTTTGTGTCGACATTTTTTTTGTTGGGATTTAAAGGGCGTTTTGCAATTTTGTAGCGATACATGACTAATTCTTCATATTCATAACGCGCAAAATATACGCATGTAAATTCATGTTTAGAATTTTAATTGGGGTATATTTTGTTATCGCTAATGTTTTGTGGAGCAAAGCAATGTCTTTTAATGAGTATTATATCTTTTAATGAGCAGTAGGAAGATCATAGCCTATGCATTTTACTTTATGACTGGTCAGTTTTGAAACAATATATTGCTCAGTAGCTAGGCTAGATGTTTTATCTGGCATTCAGAACTTTTTCCAGTTTGACATTTATGTTTATATTTAGATTATCGCACATTATCAGAGCAGAGTTTAGGAAAATAAAAACAGATTTGCCTGCAGTATTAAATTATAGCACAATGACGACTTTCCGCGGAGTCAACTTTTTGTTTTAAGAATATGGCCTAGGCCTACGTCTTGGTTGCGAATACATACCATTTTTGTCTTTCTCCAATGACGCATATATTAAATATATATTTTAAGCATAAAACAAACGTTTTGTGGTATGTAAATCTGTAATAAAGTTTGTATTAATACTGTCGTGTTTTATGTTTTGTTTATGAACCGTATGATATTGACACTAAAAACTGTAAGTGTTCGAGCAGCGTACTGTTGTTATGGTTACCACCTTCGAACTGTTCTCAAGCGTATTTGGCGCCACATGTAGGCTAAGAATTAAGAAAAACTATATTGGAAACATGCTCAATGTGTTTTTTTTATTACAGTTATCATAGTTAAACTATTAAGGATTGCATTTTTATGCCGTCAATTTAATCAGCCTACTATTTGCTGTTGGCTAGCTATGTCTGATGCATGCATACTGCCTACTTTTTTTTTGTTAGATAGCAAATCATGTGGTATAGTATTTACTCTTTTGTATTCTAATGAAAGCTTGTTGACGCCATTGAATGAAAAATATAAAAGGTAATTGTGACTTTTTATCTTGTAATTCTGACTTTTTTTCTCAGAATTGCATGAAATAAACTGGTAATTGCGCGTTAAAGTCCGAATTGCGAGATATAGTTATAAAGTCTGAATTGCGTGATATAAAGTTGCAATTGTGTGTTATAGAGTCAGAATTGCGAGATGATTGTGACTTTTTATCTTGTAATTCTGACTTTTTTCTCATAGTTGGGTGAAATAAACTTGCAATTGCGAGAAAAAAAGAATTGCTTGTTATAAAGTCAGAATTGTGAGATAAACTCGTAATTGCGTGAAAATTAATTGCAAGATATAAACCCGCAATTGCGAGGAAAAAGTCAGTATTGTGAGATAAAAACTCACAATTGCGAGAAAAAAAAGATTAGATTTGCGAGATGTAAACTCACAATTGCGAGATGTAAACTCACAATTGTGAGAAAAAAAAGTCAGAATTGCTATATGTAATCTCATAATTATGAGAAAAAAGTCAAAGTTCTGTGGTAAAAATCGCAATTATCTTTTGAATAGTTTTATTCCGTGGCAGAAACAAGCATCCATATTCCCCTGATTTGTAAAACATGAAGCTGATTGTTCCTTTCTGTCTTGCAGAGAGAGAACATTAGATATTACTGTAAATAATTGAGTTCCTCATTGGATATAGTCTTGTTCCTTTGTAAAAAGTTTACTGACTTAACCTTGGTTTAAGGTTTACTGGGTTTAACTTGCACCTGGGGCTGTGTGTCTTTCTGCAAATTTGGATTTTCAACCTAAACTAGCAAGCTGACGTTTTGAAAAACAGGGAACATCTTAAAGGTAGGCTACTTTGTAAAGTAAGAAACATGTGACAAAAGAGTCTTTTTCACAATTTTGTAAAGAGGTCATGCAGGTGAAATAAAGGGCTAAATGGCAGTTGACAGGATATTTGGATATTTAAAACCCTTAAATATCCAAATTTCCTGTCAACAGTTTAAAACTTGCAAACAGTTTTAAACTGTTTGCAAGCTTATGAAGCAAATTTGTACAAAGTAATTTTTAATACTCTTTTTGGAAATCTAAAATGCTCAGTTTATGTTCTTCATGTCAGGTTTATATCAGAATAACTGCAAGGGAGCACTGCTTCATAAATGAAACAATAATTAGATCATTTGAAATGGTGTAGTTCCAAACTCTGCAGAAATGAGAAACTATAGTCTCAAATCCTCTTTCTGACTGACTTAATTTAATATGTAGCTGAAACAGATAACACCTTTCACAATATATGCTAAAATACTATTCAAGGAAAAAAAGCTCAATTCTAAATGTATTTAAGTAAATAACACTTTTTCTCTACAAATATTTAGATATGATCAGCTTAGTCTTTCCAGTACAACCCTTAACAAAGTTCTTGTAGATTTGAATTTCTTTAGTGTCAAATATAGAATAATTTCAGCTGAGAGGTGACATTGCATGTCCATTTTTGGATCTCAAAGATGGATCTCATTTAATCAGCTGTTTTATTTCTGTGGTGCAGGCGATCACAAGGCTGTAATGTTTTGTCTGGAAGATAAAAGTTGTTGGATGGGGCTAATTTAAATGCCGAGATCCCTGCTGGGATCTTAATTGATGATTTGTGTCGCGGGACAAGCTGCCCACGGGCAAAACTGCAAACACAAAATACTCAGACTTTATTTGCATATTCCCTTTCTCCACATTATGAGCAAATTACAATCTGAGGTTCAATACTGCAGGACCCGGAGCTCTTTTGGTCTAATCGCTAATAAAAAAAGACTCCGTCACCCTAAATGAAGGAAGTAAACTGAGCAAAAAGAAGATTGTAAACCAATTGTGATGCTTCTAGACTTCCATAAAGCTAATTGTCTTCCTTTCTAATGTGTCACTTTTGATGCCAACCATATACATTCACAGTGCTGATAATTTGCCTATTTTTGCAGGTCTCATTTGGATTTTCAGATCTTATGTTGTTTGTCTGTTGACAGTTAATGAGATAGTTTTTAATCTTTGCCTCAAATGAGAATTATTCATCAGCCTGTAGTCTTCTGGGGTCTTGTGTTTTCAAGGTGAAGCAATATGAGGCTACATTGTTCTCTGCTCCTCTTAGATGCACAGAGACAGAGTTCTGTTGTTACAGGCTTCCACCGCTAAGCCTTTGCTGATCCTGATGGCTCTCTGAGGAGCGCGGGCCTGTTATTGCGTTGGATGGCTGTGCGTCCAAACGACCTCGCTATGCTGCTCTCATACTGCCAGGCACGACGGTCAAACTCCTCTCCTGGGACCTGGAGGTAGAGGAAGATTGGCTTGATTTACACGTGTAGAGGCACTTTACAGTCACCCGTAGCATAGCACTCACATCACAGGCTGTGCAGTTTTCATGTCGCCCTGGCCTTGGAGCTGACGTTGATTTGATTTATGAGAAAACACAGGCTCGAAATCGACAGTCTCCAAAAAGAAGCGATGATCTGATGTTAACAGATGTGATGAAGTCGTCCTTTGGTGCGCTTGTCAGCACTTGTCATGCACTTTTAATAGATGTAGCTGAATGACAAGTGACTTGATGGAAATCTGTCCTTGACTATCCTCTATATCTGCAACATTTAAAACATCTAGATACAAAATTATTATAATAAGTCTATAACAGGGTTATTATTGTTAACTGAAATAAAAACTAAAACCATAAAAAAACATTTTCATTACTTGAATGGAAAAAATAGACATTACCTGAAATACAATAAAATGTATGAAAAATATGTATTATTTCAGGTAGTTGGCAAAGCAACATTTCTCATTTTCTTTTAGTTTATATATATATATACATCAATGATACTAAAACAACACTGCAATGGAAGTAAAACCAAAAAGTACTCGTCCCACACGGTTTGTGCTACACAAATGAGTGGTACCTCAAATTGTATGGCTTATTGAGGAGAACTGTTCTAATTCAGTTCTATGTGATTTTTAGTGGATCTGCTGGCTCATCAAAAAGCCAAAAACAAATCCCATAGACTTACATTGCAGAAGTAACCCAAGCCATTTCTATAAATCAGAATCTCATATTTTAATTTGGGGGTGGGATCTTTTGAATTTGACCAGTGTGCAACACCCTAGCAAGTAACTGCATTCCAGTGTCCTGATAACAACCCAGTGACTTTTGCTCTGTGCATATAAATATATATATATATATATATAATATTATTATTATCTCATGCAAATGACAGTCAGAGTTGTTCATAACAGAAATAATTACTTAGCCAGGATCAAAAGCAGAGTCAAATTAGCAGCAGCTTATTATTAATTCTGAATTTAAAAACCTTGAACAAGACTGTAAACCTCTGAGTGCCTTTGTTCTTATCTCTAGTGGAATGCTGATAATAATCCAAATAAATGTACTCAGCGTCACTGAGGGAAATACAAACACTTCTACCAAATTCTGAATTTATAATATTTCTGAGTAGTTTCTCAGAACAGACGAACAGGTTGAAAATATTTTATTAGAATTCTTTTTGAGATCAAAGTAGGAAAAAAACGTATACCCAGGACCAATTCATATCTCTTTTCCCCCTCTAAATATATAAATATATGCATGAGTACAATAACTAGTCAAATTAAAATAATGTGCTAGAGGCAGGAGAGTGCTTGACTTAGGTTGAGAGAGAATGATG